TAAGGGCACGTTCCGTGCTGATCATGTGAACGAAGACAAGAACAGCCTCGTTGGCTGCTCTCCCCTTTCCGGCCTGTAGAAGAGGGGATCAATAATAAGCATAGCGCAATGGTTCTCTGTTCCCGCCTACTTGGTTATCGCGAACTGTGCCTTTAACTGTTGCTCTTCTTTCCAGTTGACGGCTTCTTTTACAGAACGTAAAAAAATCGTTGTATATGTCCCATAAGCGGTCACTGCAGAGTTTCTTAGAGTGCAGGGCAGAGAATTCACGCAGCAGCGAAGAGGCGTTGCGAGAGGCGTCGCGCGCGCTCCACACCAGGACCTGATGGAAACGTTTCAGTCTGTCGAGTAAACTTGCTAAGGAATGCTAGTTGGTTTCTGAGGGTCGCCGCATCATGGATCTTCTTGTTCCACTCGGGCACTAACCATTACAGTTCACTTTTGATTATAACAATGAGTCTCTTCGAACAAATGATCCCCTGGTTACTGGGGTTGTTTTATTTCTCCCGAAGTTCCCTTTTCTTGGCGAATACTTTGCTGGTTTGAATGGCGTAGTTGAAAGCGTATGTTTTGTAAAAGCAATACATAATTCCGTTGTCACAGCTAGCGCTGACGTCAAGACCAAGGGATTATGGGTGCTTGGTAGCTGTAAAAGACGTCACTACTGATGTCTTTGGATGACATAAATTTTGATTTTGTTTGAAGTAGGCGACCATTATGCCACCCACCTCTGTCACGCAACCTATGCGCTTCTTAGATTTAGTCATGCAAACCAAAAATCGCAAAAAGAAGTCTTAAAAAATCAAAAATCCTCTCGTTGGTTCTGTAATGCTCCCAGTCAACCTGTGGTTTGAAGGGCAGTGATCAATAAAGAAAATGATGAGTATTCATCAAGAATCAGGGTCAAAAGTAGGTGCTGCATCTCGTTTGTAACGCGTAGCTCCCAGTTTCTCATCCGACCCGGTGCTTATCAGTGAACACAGGGTCGACGAAACAAGAAGAGCTCTAACTCCTATACTCAGGGCGCATCCTCTCGTTGTGGAATATATCTGCTGAACGTGACCCTCCCAGTTTTCTGAGTACGACCCTTTTTCACAACCCGCTTACCGTCTTACCAGTTTTTCTCAGAATCATGCTGTCGAACCGTGGGAAAGTTGTGAACAGCTGTGAACGAAGCGGCCAGTAAGGCCGGGTTTAGCGCGACGCCAGCCCGTCCTCCATCTGTTACTGAAACGGGTTTGCGGCAACAACTCGTGGCATAGTCCGATACGAACGATATTAAGCAATTATATCGCTTGCGGAAGGAAATGAAAGAAGGAGGCTGCCGCCGCGCCATACCCATCCCCCTAACACGCCCCATCATCCATGGCGAACAAGACTGGATACAGCTGATACCGTCGCAGTCCGGTGAGATAGTGCCGGGAGCAGCGAATGGTGGGGTACGTGGCAAGAGAATCGTAATTCGCCGCGCCAGTGGGCGTCGCGTGCGACGTCGCGCCCGCTAATGACGACGATTTTAGGTGGTATTGGCCGGAAATAGACATAAGGATCCGATGCTCCAATGGAAAGATAGTGCAAATTGAGGAAACGTCGCGCCCATTGCCGCGCGCGAGACGAAGCGGCAATTTATGATTCTGTTGCTCTTCCCGAAGGGTGAGCTTTATCCACGCCCCCTGATACGACCCAGCCAAATTGCGGTTATGTTAGCTCTACCATGAATAAGGAGAAATAGTAATTTGTTGCGCCATTGACCAGGAGTGTTACTTATACTATGCCTAGACGGGAAAAATCAACGGCCGAAAAATTTTTTCGAAGCCAGATACGACCCCTCATCCATCATGTTTTATACGATGGTATCTCCAGTACCACCTCCAGCTAGCGTGTACTATTCGGGAAAGTCTAGAAATAACTTCTGATAAATGACAGTTTTCCTGAGTCCCTGTATAATTTAAATATGAATACAAATGCTAAGGAAATTTGGAGGAAAGTCGATTGCATGGCGTATCCCAGGTCAGAGTCAACCATCCGATGTCATTCAAATGAATATTATTTCAGGGGCACGAAGGGAATACCCAACCGGGCTCGAAGATCATGTTGCACAACTGCTCAGAAGATATGAAACCACGGGCAAAGAAATAATCTCTTCTTTCATTCAGATCGGACCTATTGATGGCTTTGTTTACTGATTTTTTTTCTCGTTAATTCACATGTTGTTCACTGATTTGTCAGCCATTGTGACTCATTCCTTGTGAAACTCCTTGAGATACTCAATTTATTATAAATTTGCTATTTCGCTGTTGGTCTATTTATTGATTCTAACGATGAATGCGGTCAACCCGACTCTCAGAGTTTACCTCTCAGTTTTTACTGCGGTAAGAATGTGTGTTCATCTAAAAAGGCCCTTAGAGGTAGTGGGCACGCTTGCTGGAGGTGAGAGGTTGTTACCAGCTCACTGGTAGAAGGGCTGCGGGAGTGCACACCTCACTCGTCCACATTCTTTCACCAGTAAGGCAGCGTTCAGACTTCGCGACGGTAGCGCTTCGGTCGCGCGTTCGACGCGATCGATGCAGTTGAAAGCATGCGCATCGATCGCGTCGAACGCGCGACTGAAGCGCTGCTGTTACGTAGTCTGAACGCTGCCTAACGTTGGCGACAACCGCCCGCTCCTAGCAATTGTACCCACTACCTGTAAGAATGTTAAAGGCAATTTCATCTGATTCGGTTTGCTTGTACAGTTGTTATCATCCAAGTCCGGGCGTGTCAGCGGGGGTGGGTTTTCGCGCGCCGCCGATTCCCTTTCCCACCAGTCGTTGAACGCCCGAAGCGGGAGCGCCACACCAAAACCAACGCACCGCTGACACGCCCAGACTGACTTCAGTGGTAACGACTGTAGCCATAAGCGGCATGGGAATGGGAGTTAGCATGGGACCATGATCCAGCTACAGTAGATCTGTGTGCGGAATGCAGATCCCATAGATGTTTGTGGGTTGGAACTTGCACCGCTCACTGGGCGGTTAAGCTCAAAGGGCAATCCGACAGGAATTCTAAATCTGCAAGCAAATAGCCCGCATTCGATATACTGTGAAGCCCTGTTCGGCTTGCGGGGGCACTTTGCTGGTTCCCAACAGTCGTTGATGGTGACCTGTGAGCTCCAGTAAAGCTATACGACAGCGCAAGCTTTGTTTAAACTTAGCCAGAGTCTACAGGTCTCACTGAAGTGAGACGTGTAACTTAAAAGGAATAAGTAGGAGAGAGGAGAAAACTAACTAGGAGCATTCTGCCTCCGGGCTAAGCAGCGCTTACTTTGTTATGATGGTTACTCATTTTTGGCTGGAAAACGCCAAAAGAGTGGGCGGGATAGTCGAGGGCGGAGCTTGGTGTTCATGGATCAATAAGTAAGTAAGTTGGGCCTAAAGGATTCAGTCAACTTCATTTCAGCATAGAATGTCACCTGCGCCTCAGAGTGTTGCCCAAATAGGGTGCCCAGCCCCCTTATATTTAGTTTCCTGAAATAGCGCCTTAGTTCACCCGGATACCTGAGTCGTTTTGCGATGGTGAGGGATCTGTAGTATTATCAGTAGTCAATTCAGAGCAGTTTCATGGTGTACCTGTTCCTCCAGCTGTTTTCTGAGAATTTCACCTTTGAAATGTTTCCGGGTTCAATATTCTCACGTTAGGGTTCAAAAAGGTGCACTATGAGGGAACAAGCACAACCTTTCCTGCGGCGACCTTTCAATTGTGAGAAAACTGGTAGCGAAATGGGCAAGTTATTCGTAGCCAAAACGTCGACTTGATCGCCGAAAACTTGGTCCCTTCCCTGGTTCAAGCTTTCATTATCCCGTATTTATTGTGAAATTAGCTGCCTTTAGTTCATCTGTGTATATCGGATACCTGATCGTTTTTGTACCATTGCGATTAAGAGTGGAAGTAAAAAGCGTGGCGCTTCCCAGAAAGGAACGATCGAGGCGGGAAGTTTTATCCTATGTTCCATTAGCCTCCTGGTTAGCTCCCGATGATGGGTTGTTTTCGAAAGTGGTGTTTGTTCCCTACTAATGACAACAATTTTATTGTTGTTTTGATGGAAGACAGGTGGGTAGGAGGGGTTGTGATGGTGGATTCCCATGACGTCGATTACGAAAGGGTGCATGGGACAGGTTCTCGCCCCGGTTAGGTGCAGAATTTGCAGAATGTACATAAACATGGGAAAACAATTGCTGTGTGGGAATAGTTTGAGAGATCAGGCAGTAAATAGTTCCTCTATGAGGCGGATGCGGTTTTATAGCACCGCATCTGTTCCCATGGACTCTTGGGGACTCCCAGGCAGGCAAGTGGTTAATTAAGTGCCGCAATAAAATTTTGAATGGTAAATAAGTAGCTCTGGAGACAGGGCATGCCATGGTGAGGAAAGTCTGTCCTTTAGCTCCACATCAAGTGCGACCCCCCCCCCCCCTCCCGCCCCATAGTCCGGCTCCTCCTACGTGCCTGTTCATCTTCACCCCTAATTTCTCTGTAAAATTACGACCAGGGATGGAGGAACTATGAATAAAACTAATCCCATGCCCCTGGGAATTAATGTAAACCGCTTTCAACAAGCCGATCACGCCTCCGGAGCTGTTATAATAAGGTCTTCCTGTTGAAAGTCAGCCAGTAACATGTATCCTGCTCACTGGCCAGACAATTTATTAGTGATTGGTGAGAGGTGTCGCAGCAAGGCCCATCATCCTGATTAGGGGCCCCGCCTCCCTCCTTCCCCAACATCCGCCAAAGGAGGGGAAGAGGTGGCAGGCCCCTCATCAACAACCAGAAATGGTGAAACTGCCATTGGCCAAAGGAGGGACTCAGCAATTAGAAAAATTCCACTGCACTAAGGAGGGCGATTCTGCCCATCCCCCCCGCCTCCCCACCCCTCTACAACTAAGAGACGCTTTAAACCCCGCCCTTTTCCTTTCTGCCATCGTCAAGTGCTCATCGACAATAATGCGCCCTGTGCCGCAGTCACAAACATGTGGTCATGAAGGGCCATTGAGGAGAACGAGGCCATTCACATACCTCCAGGATGTAGCAGTTGGTACCAATTTGCTTGGAGAAACAACAAAAAAAAGAAAAACATTGCACTCATTGGTAGGAGGTTCAGTAGACAGCTGAATAGGACGCGAGGAAGTAAGGTGGTGAAGCTGTCCGAACTCTCTTATCAAAGCTTTATCAGAGCCATCAGTTCTTGTTCTTTCTTCAGATCGGCCTAGTCACCATCTCCTACCAGCTCTAGCGCCACCAGTATACTTGTCGTCTGGATAAAAAGACGTGAGTTTTTTGAGATTGAAATAGTTGAGGGGGTCCAAGCTGCGGTGCAATTATGGACACTAATAACCTTTGAAAGGGGAGGGGCATATTTGCGCGCTCTTGGACAATTATGTCGGCATTCAAGCATTATTGAGTTGCATTGTATACTTGTAATGGCCGGACAATCGTGTTTCACCCTGCAATTCCTGTCAAGTACCCTGTAATCTCCTGCGTTATATAGTTCTATATATCCAGTATGTTTAGGCTGGTCCCGAGGTTTGACCATTTTGACAAGTTTGACAGGAATTTACACTTTGACGGAGTTTGACAGGTGCTTGACAAGTGGTAACAAGTGTTACAGAGTGTTTACAAGGTTTTCCGGTATTCACGTGTATAGAGATCACAGAACTTGGTATGCCGACAAGGTTACAGGTTTGCGCCCCCAAGGTTATTAGCGCAAGATATGGTCACGTCATCTTTGGTGTCTGCGTCCTCTCACTAAAATGGGACTAGGCATAAACACTGGCTTTAAGGCTTGAGAAAACATTACAAAACAGAGCAGACAACATGAGATGTGACCTAGCATGGAAACGCCGCAGCGTGCTCTCCGCGCAGTTCGGCTTGGGGGGGGGGTGCTGGTTCCCATGGACCAGTGCGAGACCTGTTAAGCCCTGTAAAGCTATGCAATAGTGGAAGGTTAGCTCCTTTACACTTGACAAGACTACAAGTCGCAACAAGGTGAGACGTGTAACACGAATTAGCAAATGGGACTAGCGAAAGTGCAAAATGCCCCTCCCAAGCCGAACAGCACCACCAACTAGGTTTGCCCGGCGAATTCCTCCGTTATATCTAACGTAAGAGTGTGACGTTGTATATTTACTAAATCATTTATCCTTATTAATA